AGTAGTAGTAGTAGTAATAGTAGTAGTAGTACTAGTAGTAGTATTGGTAGTAGTAGTGGTAATGGCAGTGGTAATAATAATAAAGTAGAAGTAGTACCAATAATAGTAATAGTCGTCGTAGTGGTAGTGGTAGAAGTAGAAGCAGAAGTAGAAGTGGTAGTTGTAGAGGTAGTAGTAGTGGTGGAAGTAATAGTAGAAGTAGAAGTGGAGGTAGTAGTAGCAATAGCAATAGTAATAGTGGTGGAAATAATAGGGGTAGGGCACAACATTTCCTACTAATCGAAGGTTTCTGGCTATCACACTAGGCAAAGGCAGGCCTTATCATCCACCGTTGTGGCAGCGTCAACGCAAAGAAGATAATAGTTGTGGTGACTGTGGTAGGACTCGTAGGGTGGTAGAGGTGGTAGTGGTAGCAATATGGGTAGTGCAGGGGGTATTAGCAACTAAATTTAAAAAAGGCGGGGGGGGATGCAGTAGCTCCTCCCCCGCAATGTAAATCAAATGTAGACAGCGCTATCTGCCTATTGGATAATTTATCCTAAATTATGTCTTTACTAGGGAATTATCAAGATTGAAGGACCATAAGACTACCGGATTAGGAGACTAAGAAATTAGATCTAGGTGCCCACTGGACCAAGAGACCGAAGGAACAGGGAACCAACGTAGTAGGAAGCAAAAGACCAACGGATCAAGAGACCGAAGGACCAGAGAACCTAATCAACATTATATTATTTTGATCGATCCTGTTTTTGAAATTGATCTTATTCTTAATTCTTTCCAATCTTATCAATTTTTGATCCTGATGTCTTCAGCAATCTCAATATTTAGATTTTTTTTCAATTTCAACGATTATTTTGGTAGCAACGGCGCCCTACAGCGCCTCCAATATCCAAGCACTCAAGGATACATAGCAACGGCACGCTACAGAACCCAACGCCCAAGCCGAAGCGCACTCCGGCGACACCAACACCCAAGCTTCGAAACGCGCCCAACAGCGGCACCCTACATCCAAATTCCCATGTGCACACGACCATATGTCTTGCCAATCGCCTAACAAATATATCGCTCGAAGTTCTATCAAAAGAAAATCGAAATCTTCCAAATTCCAAGAAATTTTATTACAAACATTGTAAATTCCGAAAAAATATCCCGGCAAGAGATCCCAAACAGTGTGTGAGGTCTACAAGCAGAAAGTCTAGAGATCTAGACGCATTGGGGTCCAGAGAGGTGATGGTGGTGATGAAAGTGGGGATCGTGGCCACGGTGGCGGTGGTGGGTGAGTGTGAGTGCGAGTGTGAGTGAAAGTGAGTGTGAGTGTGAGTGAGAAGGAGTGAGAGTGAGCGTGGGAGAGTGAGTGAGTGGGAGTGTGAGAGTGAGAATGAGAGTGAGGGTGAGGGTGAGAGGGAGAATGAGAATGAGTGAGAGTGAGAAGAGTGAGAGTGAGTGTGAGTAAGAGTGAGTATGGATAAGAATGCATTGAGTGTGAGCGTGTGCCGTGTGTAAGTGAATGAGAGTGAAGGGGAATATGAATGAGTGAGCATCTCAGAGCACAAAGTGCTACGCCACCAAGCGCTCTGCCTGCCACGAAATCTGCGCGTCGAAATTCATCAAATGTTGCGTGGCGCGAAATCGAGGTTCATCAACCAAGTGTTGCGTTTGCCACAATCTGCACTTCGAAATTCATCAAATGCAATATCAATCATTTTCGAAATTCTTAATATTCTGTGCTTGCCACGAAATCATTCCCAAAATGAAGGTCATAGAATACTATATCTATCAAACGAAATCCGCCAATGCATCGCCACAAAATCTACAAATAAACCAACCATATATTCAAAAAATATAGTTCATTACCCCTATCACGAAATTAAAATTCCTCGACAATTACTATCATATCCAAAGAACACCACAAACAATAATCCCCATATGTAAAATAAATATAATATTACAAATACAATTGTTAATAACATCCGAAACGAATATCCAAATTCAATAAACCTACGTAATCGAAATCCAAATTATCTTTAAACATATATTAATATATTCTAAATAACAACGAATTAACCACATATGCCCATATACTTTAACGACCTAAATGTCAATTATTTTTCAATCTATCGTAAATAATCCTAATATATCCCCATAATTTAAACAAACAATATTTCAATCATTTATTAATTATTTATATATTTACAACGTAATATACAATCTTAAATCATAATATTAAAATCCATTTTTTTTCAATTAATATATCTATTATTAATCTAAATTATATTACATATATTTAACATAAATTATAATATTTAAAACATAATTGATAATAATTCAATATAATAAAAATATTTTTTATTATCTATATACATAATTATATATCTATAATATATTAAATCAATCAACAATCATTTAATAATATATTTATATATCATAAAAAATATATATTTTAAATAATCATTAAATATATTAATAATCTATTTGTTAATTCTTCGCAATTGTGCCAATAATAATAGTGTTTGGGAAATTGACCTGTTTAACAAGGATTGTTTGCAATGTCGTCGAATATTGAACAGAAACAGAAATCATTCCCGATTCTATTTCAGCCACCTGCACAATTGTTGCACAATTTCAAACATTTGGCATCATTTGGCATTCCTTTCCGAATAGGACTTTCTGGCCACTTGTCATTGGCAAGCAGCAGCAAACAACCCCTCGAGTCTAGATCAGCAAATAAGAAAGACTAAGCGATGGTAAGCATGCTCTGGTGTTTTGGTTTGACATCTTTTGGCCTATCCCAAGTGAAACCATGTGAGCAAAACAATGACAGGACATGACAGGACATAAACATCTTCAATGTCATTCCGACCTCGATTGCAGGGCTCGCAGCGCTGCATCCAATGTCAACACACTCGGCATCATTTGGCACGATTGCAAGTCTTGCAGCAGCAACAAAACCTTGCGCGGAGGAGGAATCAGGCTGAAGAAAAGTGAGTCTTGGCACTTTGCTCCACGCTTCAGAAGTGAAGAACAACACAGTTGACATCATTAGACCAAAGTTGCTGCGAGGATCGGGTCACCTCCTTCCCGCATCCCATTTCCCTTCAAACTTGGCCTGGCTCCACTGGAGGCTCTGGCTGCAAGCTTCAACTGCCTTGGACCCGGCTTGCCAAGTCAAGGACAGGGTGGAAAGATGTGCTGACAGTGTCGGCTGTCTGACTTGAGAGTTAAAAAAATGGAAGCGAAACCTCACAAAGTGTCACAAACACCCAGGCAATGTAATTGAAGATGATTTCCTGGAATGTTCTTCTTTTCGCGGCAACGCCTCGGTCGCCCGTTTGGGGAGTCTCAAATGGCCTGGGGACTCCGGAGATGCTTCGGACTCCGAGTCCCGCCGCTGAGTCTCTTCAGTCAGGTGAAGACCCTCGTCCCATCCGCTGAAACTGTACAGGTTCGGATTTGGATCCACGAACCGTGGCCATGGCCCACACAAAAGGCGGCTGTACAAGAGAAGCCCCTGTCTGAGTACCCTCCACTCGAACGCAAAACTGCAGGTGTTCCTCGACACAAACACACATCCATGCATTCCTCTATATGACGAAAATGGCGGGTAAGATCCAATTGTACTCTCACCTCAGTGGTAGGGTATCAGGTTGGTCTCAAGAGTGAGCGGAGCCAAACGCACCGTGGATCCTTGGATCATCCATAGATCCTGGCCTTGTTAAAGTCGCAGGGGGGCACCTCATCTGCTGAAAGCATCTGAGTGACGACTTGGGTTCTGTGAGATTTATCCAAGTTAGACTGAAGTACTTGTTCCAGGCCCAGGGAGTGCAATTCCTCCTGCTTGGTGTTCCTTTGAGTTTAGCAAATAGCCTTATACAAGTTGAACATTGAACTGGATATCGCAAGAATTCACCAAACCTGACATCACAAACGTCAACCCCTCGGCTACTCCCAGGTTTCACATCGAAACAACTCTGCAAAAACTGCTATCCAATCATCGAACTCTCTGAAACAGAATGTCCTCCACTTTCTCCAACACCTACCACCTGACAAAGACCCATGCTTTTTGGGCTACTAGCATTGTCCAGGGCACTGGAGGGTCAGGGCCATACTTCTCGGCAAAGAGTCTTCGGGCCACTGCCACCTTCCGCGCGTTCGTCTCCCTGCTGTTGCCGGACCAAAAGGCCTCCTGGTCTGTGTAGAGCTCCTCTCAGTATGGAGCCGTGAAGGTCTCAGCAAAGTTTTGTGACAGGTGGGAGTGGGAGTTGGGAGAAATAGCAAACGTCCTACAATCACCATCACAAACTAGTCACCCTACATCAATGATGCTTGCACGATCCTTGCCCTCATTGAGCCCCGACACAGCTTACCCACCCAGGCTCCGTCAAGCGCAGCTCCCCAGCATTTTCATAGTTCCAAGTACAGTCGCCCGTGCCGGTGGGGATGCCGAAACACTTCCCGCCCGGCTGGACTCTCTCACAAGCCTCCAAGCCGGTTTTTGTGTCTTCGAAGCATGTCGTTTCCACTTTGAAGAATTTCGCATCTGAACCCGAACAAACGTGTTGACACTATTTCCATCTATTTCCTCAAAAGTTGGCCCCACTTGTGATGAGATAGACCTCATTTGGACGTGTCAAGAGTTCCTTGTTTCACGTTGCTCAATTAGAGCTTCCGGAGTGACCTTGGGAACGCCAGAGTTTCGAGCGAAACGCCAAGCCACGGCCTTGTCGCCAGACTTCTCCAAATAAGACAAGGATGGACAAGCTCCAGGCAAGCTGTACCAAATACCACCATCGAAATGGGTATCATAGGTAGGAAATGGCCATTCTCCGAGATTGTTGCAGCCCACGTTGTACCCATAGTCCTGCCAGTCCATGTCACAGTCTGGGCCCGTGCACTTGCCACTGTCGAAGGCCACGCGAATACCGAAGTTCATACCTGGCTGCGGCTTGAACAAGCACACTGGTTTGAACCACTGGGTTGTGGAACTTTCATTTTTTCACCAAGGTCCAAATAGAGTTCCCCATGTAGGTCGAGACAAGTGCAGCAAACCCCACGGGATCCCATGGCGAACTCACACCTTCGCACTACTCGGCAGACCACATGGACCAAAGATGACCCAATCCTTTCAAGCCAGCTTCAGTGTTTGCGCCTGCCATAATTATCCTGCGGATTTTTGCTCCAATAAAACTAGTAAAACCATGTAACGAATGAAAAACATAGTAAAACAATGAAAGAGCAGAATGCCCAATGACCATGGGCCTTCAAAGAATACAAGGAGACCCTCAAAGATCCATTGGTAAAGGAAGAACAAACTACTAACTTTAACGCCCATGTGTTGGGCAGTGTCCCTATTCCAATACCCACCCATAATGACCGGTAAGGAAACCCAGACCCTACTAACACGGGCGACGCCCGATTCTGCTTCCGATCCACCAAACGATTGCTCCAAGCAACCTTTGTCCAACAAGGGTTGCGTCGCGCGCACTTGCACCCGGAAGCGCATAATCCGCGTGATCCCGAACTTCGCACCTCTCTCCGTCGGGCGGCTGAGATTGTGAAGTGCGAGGTGCGACAGGAGAGATTGGCAACAGGCAGCATTTGTCAGATTTAGATATAGGCCTGAGAGGTGATTCAATGAGGAATATCAAGAACATCTTCAAGCAGCCTCTTACCTCTCCGTTACTTCTTATCCCATGATTGAGTAGCTCTGGAAGTCTTGCTCGTAAGATGTGGTCATGACAACACCATGCTGTCCGTGCAAATACGAGGCAGTTGGATCACGAAAACTGATGAATCCCTTTGGAAAGGTGATCTAGGACAGTGAACAAGCTGTATGGCTTGAAGAACTTGTTCAGCCTTTTCCTGCTAAAGCTGGCCATGAGATGCCATGAGCAGTTCTGGATCAAATTGGATGAACCCACTTCAGAATTGGTTTAGAACCAGCATGCCGGCTTTTGACTTTCGACTAATTATGCAAATGGGGGGACTCAATTTTATGAAGTTGCAATACCACCATGTGTTGCACACGGAACCACAAGTGCAGCGCTTCTGCACCGACCGCGGTACCTGTTGATGGGTCGCTCCAGGTGCTTCGCCGCCTTTCCCTCGCTTCGGACACCACGTGGCCTGGTCCATACACCCCAGAGAGGACCTCGTTTTGCAGGTACCACATGATGCCCTCCAGGTTTCCGGTGTTGTCGTTCCCCAACGGGTAGTCCTCGTCATTCTGAGCACGATACATGTAGAACTCCATCAGGTTCCTTACACTGGCCACAATCCCAAGAGAACAACTTGGGTCAAACGTGTTGGTTTGAGATCGTTTCCAAGGTTTGTAGTTCTGCACTCTGTGTATATATAGGGGAAGAAATCAGTATCAGAACATATCAGAACTCTATTTCTTAAGAAATCCTGACTCAAACCACCAACCCTTCACCAACACCAAAGCTCATATTGAAGTTTTCTGGGTTCCACATGAAGACATACCCCGTCAGGAACTGTGATATAGTCTCTCTGCTACAAAGATGGCACCATGACACTTACAATGATACTCGCATTCTCATCACTCATGTGCTATAAGACCCTCTGACACATCCACCACGTCCCTCCCTCGCATCCCTCCCTTGCGGCAAAGCGTCCCGTCGCTGGGCTGCTGCAAGGCCGTCACCAAGGGCCCGGGGCTCGGAGCGATCGGCGTGGGGCGGCTCGCCTCGACGCCACTAGAGCCCAAGTCGGCCCGAGATCCGTATCCAACTTCTGGGACAAACAGGACGTTCATAGGGTGCGTGACACTCAGTGAAGCTCTGAAAAACAACAACAACATTCTGAGGAACATGCCATGGTGGTCGACTCTTCAATACATGTAGGGTAGCAAACTGCAAACTATTCCCTGGCCGTAGGTGCTTGTGGCTTTATTGCTTATGACGCTTTGGTGGAACGGAGGCCTTACTTTCACATCTGGAACACTGGAAGTCGCAGGGCTTGGTGTATAGGTTGGATGCCTGCAAATGGGCACTTGATGGATCGCCTTGAAACTGTCCGAATTGGGCATCTCCTTCCAACCAAGAATAAAATTGTTCGATTCAAAACATTAGGCCGGGCCTCGTGGTTGACAGATCTCTGCCTCTTCCCCAAAAAACGAGGATCCCAGAAAAAACCGTCGTCGCATCAAAACCGCCGCTGACGCGAGGATCCTGACCTGCATCAACTCGCAGCTCCAAGGTGTTCGCCACTGTGGTGGGTCGTTCAGATGGATTCCAGGAGCACAGCTGTGAAGGCAGATCGCCACGGCCTCGTCCTGCCGATGTTTGCTGGGCATTCCAGGGGAATGCCACCATTCGTAATACCAAGAACAACAAAAAGAAACAAAGCCGTTTGGAGGAGGGTCAGTCCTGCCTTCAGGTGGGCTCAAGTGGAAGTTGGTGGAGCGCAACTGGCATTAGGAGAATACTTTTCCAAAAACCCTTCTGCCAGTTTCCATGATTCTCACGAACAGGCTACAGTCAAATTCTCCATATGATTCTCAAGGACCATGTGGTTCAAGGAAGGCATCGCCATCGAAGATGAAACCTTCGCATCACTCCAACAGGTTTCGTCTCACGAGGATTGAACGCACCAGGATCGTCTCACTAAGGACCCCCCCGCGCACAACTCCTTCCGATAGCACTTCGTGCTAGGATCGCAGCAGTTGGTATTGTGCATGCCTTAGATCTGCTGATCACACAAATCATCACAAATCATACAAAGTTCCAACCGTTTCTATACAAATCCGCTGCGATTGGGGATATGCACCATGAAAAGTAAAAGTGAATCTCATGTGAATCTCATCTGTAGATTCCACTATGCACAGTGATCACCTATGTAGAGCTCGAAAGCACTCAATCATATTCAAACACCAAGAACAAACAGCTGGACACGAACAAACACATGACCAACCGCCACAACTATGTTCCAATCCCCACCCCGAAGCAGTCCATTCCTCTTCTCAGCTGGGACACAATTCACCGTGTACGACGGCACACACTTCCCGTCGCTCGCTGGAGCTGCTGGAGCTGGAGGCGACGGCACCGGAGTGTTGCGGCCGATGACCTTGCAGGTCCATGGTGTGCGGTACTGCGGCAGGTCGTTCATGTGGATACCAGGAGTGCCTGAGCTGCTTGAAAAAGAACGTGCAAGGCCATTGGGATGTAGAACATTGGTTATGTAGCGGAACAAAGGGTTGGGGCCGGTTCTACATCTATCGCGAGCTCTAGTTTCGGATGGTGAGACCGAATGTCAATGCCTTTCTTGTCGTTGGAAGGGAAACTGACACCATTCTTAAGTCTTATGTCTTCACATGACCCACCCTTCCAGCGAGACTTTTGTGGAAACAGTTCAGACAGCACGTCCTTCAAGCTGAGGCCTTCGTTCTATGGGACTTGCAACTTTCACCTCCTTCAGTTGAGAGCACCTATGGACCAGTCAGGTCACTGAAATCCACGAACCTGACGCCTTGGGGGCCAAACCGGGCAAACTTATCCTTGAAAACAGTACAGTGCATGACTCATTGACTCGTGGCCCACGACTCATTGACTCATGCATGAGCAAGTTGCAACTGTGAAGGCAAACGGCCACAGCATCATCCTTTGCATAGCAGGTGGTGGTCGGGTCACAACATCTCCTGAGAGGACTGCTGGAGCAAACGCCCCAAAACGCGAATCGCAGGGAGGCGAAGTGAACGACGTCGCGCCGTGGACAATGTGAGGAGGTAAGAGGGTCAGCGGAGATTCTGCTGGACTCCCTAGTACATGGGATGCAAACCCGAAAAAGCCTGGCGATCCAAACAATTGTCCAGCAGTTTGGCCTACAAGGCCTCCACCAAGTCATTCTGAAGCAGCTTTCTAACCCCACCACCAAGTTAATGGAACCATTGTATGGTCAGCTAACATGGTGCCCTCAATGTCAAAGCACGCCGTCCGCATCCCTACGCCTCTCGTAACGTTCCCAAGCTGCGAGTTGTGCATGCAATTGACATGGTAGGATGGAGTGCAGCTGCCCCGGAGGTTGCTGGTCTCGTTGCTTGCCCAGACCGTGGCCACACAGGCAAACAGGGCAACGTTGAGACGCATCATGATGTACCCACCAGAAATTCTCGTCTGATAATCTCAAATTCTGGGAGCCAAATGGCCACAAATCAGAGTCGAGCCAGGTTGAGCAGCCAAGGCATCCAAACATTCATGTACTGCCTCTCTTTCGCGCTAACTCTCTTGTGTTGCGTAGATCAATCACTCCCTCCCTCTCTCACGACACAACGCGCTCTTGCCAAGCAACTGCATTGAAGCTTAGGAGGTCGATTTGCAAGCGAGATGGAGGGATCTCTTTCAGGACGTGTAAGGCATGGCACCAGGAAGCCTTGAGGCAAGGAAAGATGGGGGTATTCTCATCTCAGGACACTGGGTTCCACATAGATGGCACCAATCAAGAGTTAGAACTGGATCAATCATCGTCATCTACCATCCCTCGCAGTGGGGGGCCCCCGCGTCAACAGTCTGCGCTTCAGGCGCCATTCTCCACTTCCGAGATCTTCCCAATTTGGCACGAAGGATGTATGCGAAGATCTAGTCACCAGTGTGGATCAGTAAGGAGGATCTGGGAGTCTGGCTTCCCCACAACAATGGCTACCAAGACTGCGAGAGGTCAACCATGACCCGCAGGGGAACTCACCGGTTCGGGAGTTGAGTCTCGTTCAAATTCACAGCATTATATATCATCTCTCGGTCACTGAGTCTATTTTACAGTTCCATGCGTAGATGGATTATGGAGACAAGCTAAATATTAGGTATCATAGGAACTGACCATGTCGACAGGTTCTACGACCTGTGGCCATTCCAGCTGATCGTATCGGTTTTCGCAGGAGCCCAAAGCCATCTGGACCACTGGGGATATTTATGTCTTCATCAGGCTAGTAAACATTGAAAGATCTCCAACTCTGACCCTGAACACGGATCACTGGCAGGAAACCAAATCTCAGATTTAACCCAACACCAAGAACCAAGCCCCGCAGAAAAGACCAGATCGTGAGGCCTTCAAGACATCCAGGAATGTATTGAAGCCCACCAGGTCCCAGCCATTCTCAGGCCTCACTCTCAGCTGATCTCAGCTGCTACAGATGCACTCGGTGTTTCGCTGGCTAAACATGGGCACTTTGAAAATCCCTCCCGGACAGTGGGCAGTTGTTGGGGCGAATGGTGGCAAGTTGTTGAGGTCGGATCAGGTGGATTTCTACATCAGTTTCTCGAGCACTTTGTCAGTTTCAATCATCCAAAGTACACATATCGCACTTCAAGCGTGAAAAAACGAGGCCGTCTGTCGAACTTCTTCTTGGGATCATTGGATTAAACATGATCATCATCCTGAGTTCTCGGCCGGTCTTTGACTAATTCCAGTGCCAAAGGCCACTGCTCCACCTGAGAAAAAGTGGGAGGCGCACTCCGGATGATAGCAGTCAAAGAAGCAAAATAGAAGCAAAGTAAGTACTGGATTGTACATAGAACACTCCAAGAGCGGCTTCATACTCTTTTGTATAACCAAGATGGGAAAGTGATGTCGCCGCACCAGAACAGGGGATGCTTCAAGCAGCTTCACCTCTCTCGCCCAGGTCCCTATAACTCTCCATTGGACGAAGGGACCTTGGCCAGGAGGGCATTTGGACCCACACTGCTCCCTGAAGTGTCGGACGCTTCCCAACAACGTTGGGAGCATTGCAAGTGCAGGGCTTTCCTCCAGTGAACCATGGCGCTGGTCGCCTCAGCAAACAGGACGCCGGCCCAGTGGCACAACTTGCCCAGTGCTTCTCTTGAGACAAAAATCATACACCACTTGCAATAGCAACAGGCAATTACAATGTGTTGTTCAGCAGAATCAGCAAGCCCTTTTTGTAGAAATGTCTATAAGTCAACCTGTTCTCAGTTGCGAGTCCTGGGGAGATCTCATGGGATCTCCGAGATGAGACCCCAAACTCAGATGCCAAGCGTCTGAATTGAAGGCCACGTCATCTGCGCCGCCGCGTCTTGCCGCGGCACGGAGCAGTTGCAGGGAGCTCCTCCAAAGATCGACCAAGTCCAAGGCCTCCGGGACCCGACTCACCGGCGACTCAGGGTGTTTCAAACGAGGTGAATGACACGTGGTGTTTCCAACGGTGCCTTGGTGGAACAGTGCCTGACAACGAGCGTACAAGAAGAAGACCATCTGTTTTTATCTAAGCCTAGGTTTCCCGGTATTTGAGGGTGCAGGCTAGATATCGGTCAGGAAGTTTCAAAAGACCGTTTGTGGCACAAAAGCTGCATATGAATGACTAATTATATCTATTTATTGATGTACTATTACATAGACTCAGGTCCCTAGCAATTCTGCCGGCCAAAAGACCCTTCTTGGAACTGTGGAAGGCGGTCCAGGGATGTTACCCTTTGCTCCAAGCAGACGAGTCGGTGGAGTTTCAGGTCCTCCCCGCCCATCCCAGACTCAGAGCTGAAGGTGCGCAGGCTGGAATGAAGATCCCTCCGCCCATGCTGGAAACATCCGTATATAATCGTATATATATATATATATACATTCTTCATCATTCTTCATCAGTATTCAATGTCCCAGGTGGAAGTTCTAAGAAGCTCTGAGCTCGGAACTACCCCCTGACCGACTTCCCCCCCGGGCCGAGAGCAACGAGTTCACTGTGACCAGCTGGGTCTCAAGGCCTCACAGACAGGATCGAAACATGATGGCCAAAGATGGCTGGGAAGGAAACTGGTTGAAACGGTTGATGTGTTTTGAATCTAAACGAATAGGTTTGATAGATTCAAAACTGCTAGATTGATAGTTGATTAGAATCTATCAACTGGACGACTTTAGATCCTACTTTTGGGAGGACCCAAAGTCAGGCTCTCAAAACATTGCTGCCAGCATGGCCTCGGCCGCGAAGGTGGCTCAGCAGGTGAGCGGCGTGGTGCCATTCGAAGCTCTGGGCACAGCTGCTACCTGAAGATCTGATCATGGTACGGTTCAAGAACCTGGGTACGAGTACCATTGAAACATATTGAAACACTTGGGCTAGAGAACACCAGTGCACGTCTGTGGCTCTCATCTCCTCTTATTCTTTGAGCCACAGCTATCTCCCAACGATGAAGACATCACATACATTGCGTGCAGTAGAACATGTGATGACGGTGAGGACGATTGGCTGCTTGGTGTTTGGGGTAGGTCCCGGAGTCTTTGTGGGAAGTCTCCAATATTTCTGAACAGTCATTTAGCCAAAGGTAAGGCTTGTTGGCAATGACTGACCGTAGAATGGATACCCCTTAGGATGAGCAGGATAGAAGTCTGCCATCCCCTTCTGAAGTTGTATGGAAAGTGCAAACGATTGGACCACGGCCTAAGTGGTCGTTCAACGGTCAAACTTAACATCTGAGAGGTATTCATGCAGCTCAGGAGCCTCAACACTTCAAAACCTTGATTTACGTTGGCCCCAAGGACCTCTCAATCTCGAAGAAAGACAAGGTGGCACAAAAAAGACGCCTGCGGCGTTGTAGCTGAGAATGTGCTGCTTCAGCCCATGGGCCTCACCAAGTTCAAAGCTCCTCACCTCTTAGGTGCCCAAGGGATACTGAGAACCTATCCGCCTGATGAGCCTAGCCGGGCTACTCGGGGTCAAGTCGTGGACATCGTCTAGTGACGGAGTCCCTCACCTTTCGGGACCCAACCGGTCCGGTCAGGGCCTTCATCTGTGCCAGGAGGAGCTGTGTCCAGGGCCAATGTCTCCGCGACGTCACGAGAAGGTTGTAGGATGCTGCTTGCTGGTTGACGTCTGTGATGCGCCGCTGATGAATCTCTGTGAACAGTGTCAGACTGGAGCTCCAAGATGCACCTCAGAAGGCTGCTTCAAACTATTGTTCAAGGCTCGGAAGGCTTCCAAATGACTAGCATGACATCTGCTGAACTCTGTCCGCGGAGATGCTGATACATTAGCCTTCAATGTGTCAACGGCACATACACCCGAAGCGACCAATCCACCGTGAAGCCTCTCAACACTTAAGAAACAATGAGAGCCAGGACTGATTCCAGTATTGTTACATACAGCTACTTGTTAATGTCTTGTCTCTTCCAGCCACGCTCAGTCGCGCTGATGATGGCATTGAAGGTAATGAGGTTGCTTCGAATTCTTCTCCTTGGCCCAAAACTGAATTTGACTAGAACATACTAGAACCATTGAACACTGATGGCGCACACACACACTCACTCCAGTCCATTTGAGGAATGCTTTCATGACCTGAAAATCGAATTTGGTGAGTTCCACCTTTCCAGGGCAGCGCAAAGGTTTTTCGGTCTCGACGGCGAGTTTTACGAACGTTCAATGCATCCGCCACCGTGGAAGTCGAAAAGAGCCATCGGTTCCTTCCACCTTCCTCCACCTTCCGAAACGTCCGAACGTTCACCCATCGACAACGGCGACCTCTGTGGCGACCCGTCGAAGATCGAAGCCAGTCGACTCATCATATTTCATGCCCTTTCTCTACGCAACCCACGTTAGAGGACACCAGTGAATTCCTGCCTTTCAAACGCTTCCCATTCCAAAGGGCTGGGACATTTTTGAGATCGACTGCAGGGAGGCACTCCAAGCATTCTTCTCGCAGGCCTTGATGCTGCTGGTGTAGGACACCTTGCTGACGGTCTGCATGGGTTGTATGATGGCAGATCGCATGATGGGTTGGATGTCCATGTTCCGGATCTCTTTACCCTATCTTTACCAGCCGACCATCTTGCGACTCCTATAACCGATGTCGAGCTTTCCGCGTGCTGTCTGGTTTCGATCGTTCTTCCTGCAAAGAAAAGGTCAAAGCTTCCGTTGGATTGGTTACGGATGAAGCGAATCATCAATTGTAAACATGAGTGGAACAATCACGACCATCAACCCCAAAGCCACGACCGTCTGGACTGTGCTGATTCTCCCACTGGAAAATTTCACTTGGCCATTGCGAGCGTGCTTGGAAACTCGTGGCAACTAGTACATATTCAAAGGTTTGATGCACATGTCCATGCTGTTCTGGTTTGTCTCTGCACAAGTCTCAAGAGGAATTTCAGCGTA